ATTCCTTTACCACTTGTCAATCATTTAGTCGCCATTATCAACGATGCTTAACTCAACGATGCTTAACATCAATAAGATAGCATCCAGGAACCTATTCATGAGTCATACCTGGTACTCGTCTTTCTGTTGTTTGACTGTATCTGCATCTGCCGACACAGGTCTCAGTTGGRCCAGAWTTCGTTCAGCTTTGGTCAACCATCTCAAGAAATCATCCAAGTCGCTCTCAAAGGCATCACCCTGAAATATGACACCATCCAGCTTGTTCTCTCTTGATTTCAGCTTGTCGTCCAGAGAGTTAAGGCTGTCTTCGAGCTTGGTAAGCTGTGCGTCAAGATCTGCCGCCATGACGGGATCTTGTGATGTCGATGTTATTTCTTCCTGGATTTCTTTGGCCTTTGCAAACGCTTCTTTCTTTTCGTCCAGTTGTTTTTCGATTTTCTACAAGTACATAGAAAATAATGTTAATTCTCAAATATGTCGTGTTTATTACAGCCAAAGCAATAGAAACGCGACGACGTCAACAGACACCACGGTAACAACAACGATCACTACAACGCCAAAGAACGAACGAGCCGATGCAAGAACAATCGGTGGTGTGCATTCTTTTCCATGAGTATAAAAGGACAAAAGATGGGGCCGCCATGATGGTTGATACGACAAGAGGACGAAAGATCAAAATCTTTTGTTAAAGTCAACCAACATGGCGGCTATTACGTCATAACTTAATACAGCAATCCAAAAGAACAACACATGCCAAATAAACAACCAACCCACTAAATACTACTTAAGGATCGCCATTTTCTCTACCCACCTTGACGTCATCCAGTTGCTTCTTAGCCGTGTCAGGATCAGTACTAACTGGTTCCCAGGTCTCCACGATCTCTTCAGTGATGACAACCCATTCCTGGATCTCGATGATGATATCCTTTAGTTTACCACCTTGATTTATCGCATTATTGAGTTCGTCTTCTCGAGCTGCAGCTCTGGCGAGCAAGTCTTCATACTTCTYCTTGACGTCTTCTAGTTCTTTGTCGAGTGGCGATGGATCTCCTTCTGCGCTCTTTACGGCGTCCGCTGCTTTGGCTTTGGCTTCGGCATCTTTAAGGGCGTCGAGTTGGTCCTTCGCTTCTTCAAGCTTGTYCTTCAATTCCTTAACGAATCAAAAAGGTACTTTAAGTATACCACAGGGCCATCAAKTGTGGCTTAGCGTTAGTGCACTCGCATCTCTCCTCTGGGGTCTCGGGTAAAATTCCTAMATTTTCGCATTTTGAGCTAGAGCTGTTTCAGGGTATCGATAATTTTTTTTTTCAAGAGGAAGCTCAGTAAAGTAACACCGAAGCAAAAATCACRCTATCCGGCAGAGCATAAAGTAAAGGAGTTGAAAAGAAGGGAAAGCAGGGAAAAATGAGACAAAAGGAAAGCAGTCGGGTGTAAACACCGATGAATACGAGGTGAGAAAACGTACCTTTATCTTTTCCAGTTCATCTTTGTTCTTCTCCAAGTCACCACTGATAGGTTCTTCATCATCGATCTTGTTTTCTGCTTTGTCYAGTAATTCCTGGATAGGTTCAAGGGCCTCTCTATAGTCTTGCAGTGCGTTCTTCACATCTTGTAGCTCTTTTTCTTTATCAGCGCATTTAGCTTCCAACCTGTCGTACCTGTCAGTGATATCTTTCGCCTCGGATAGAACATCATCTTTATCGGTGTCGGTCAAGTCCATTAATGCCTTTGATTTCTCCTCGGTCGTGTCTCTTTCTGGTTTGTGGTCGTCAATCTCTTCCCTTAGCGTACTGACAAGCTCTTCGCGCTCTTTCAAAGATTTCTCATCCGTCAGGATGGGTTCTAGTGAGTCGACCTTCTCTTCCGCTTCTGCTAGCCATGGTGAAAGAGATTCAAMTGCTTCTTTGTACTTTGTAGCTTCTGGTACAGCATCGTTAACGCGGTCGTTGTGGTCCTTGGCTTTAGCCTTCACGTCGTCCCAGCGTTCTTTCATGTCGTCGAGTTTTTTATCCAGTTCGTCTTTCTCTGCACCTGGTTCTGTACTCTCCAACAGGTCGTTGCCGCTTCTCATGAGCTGCTCGAAAACAGGCTCTTGTTGTTTGATCTTCTGTGTAAGTTCCTGCGCAAAAAAAAAAAAAAAAAAAATTGCAGTAAGATTATGTCAACTGCAGTACAGGTATGGGGCGCCTTGTTAAGTTACAAATGCTAATCAAGGTTACTAAATTAGTCACAAGCGCAATGTTACTATAAACCAACCTCATCATTCTTCTGCTGCTCTTTTATGGTGTCATAGACAGCAGACACTGGCTCCATCTTTGCAGCAAGCCCCTCCATTTCACCAAGTTTGTCTTTGAAGTCGTCAAACGACACTTGGAACTCTTGCGTCYTCATCTGCGCTGCTTGTAGCCGGCCTTCAAGGTCTAGGATCTTAGYTCTAAGATCGTTATAGGGCTGTTCGACTTTGTCTAGCTTGTCTTTGATTGATGCGACAACTAAGGGCTGGTCCTTGTTTTTGTCTGTCAGCCAATCACAAAGCTCGTTCGCGTCCTCTAGGGTTGGTTTGTGGTCCTCAAGTTGGGCCTTTAGGTTCTGAGACAAAACGAAAAAAAAAAGAGGAACCGATGAACTATAAACTGAATAAAGCTTTCAAGCTTTTTACGAATAACAGTTGCGAATAATTCGTAGGGGAGTGAAAAATATTTGCTGAACCGTGACTCCCGTACAAATGACAATTGCGAATAATTTGTACGGGAGTGAAAAATGTTGGTATTACTTTCGCTCTAGCAAACTTTGGGAAACTTCAAATTCACCGCTCGAGCAGTGATTATCGTCTCAGAGTCATTGGTCGCTCGACCAATCACAGCGCGCGAAACTCAAGCGTAAAGTTATAGTAAAAATTAATATTTCCGACTTACTAGTTCTTGATATTAAAGGAAACTGAATGCTGTTGTGCTATCCAAGATTTTACCAAGATTTTATTTTTGAACAATTTTCTAGAAAATATATTTTATTTTACTGCGCACATTCCTACCTCCAGTTCTTCAAGCTGCTTCTTGACTGCTTCAGGATCAGTACCTATCGGTCCAACATTAGCCAATTGCTTCTTCGCTCCATCCAGCCAATCATCCAGCTCCTTRACTTTGTCGTTAAACTCACTTGCTTTCCCTACCTCTACGGCGAGCTGTTCTTCTCGGGCTTTGAGTTTATCCTGCAGATCTGCGTACTTGGATGAAAGTTCGGAGACTTTTTCTACGATGACTGTATGGTCGTCAGAGTCTTCGTGGACTCTCTGAAGAAGTGCTTCACTAGACTGATTGACTTTATCTAGGTCGGCTTGTTTTGCACCAAGATTTTCTTTCATGGCCTAAAAATTGTGAAATAAGATAGAAGATAAAGACTAGGTRCAGGAGGGACAAAAACCCCGAAAAAACCTTGAATCAATATCTTCAAATTTTATCGATACACTGAAACAACGTCTGGGTTGACGAAAATCAAGGTACTGATTTTTGAATTGTAATTTAGCGTGTTTGGTAAAAGAGGAAAAACAGGAGAACCCGGAAAAAAACTTCGAATCGAGGAAGAAACCTAACAATCTCTACTCACGACGTAGTGCTGAGTCCAGGAATTGAACCTGATAACCCCTGAGAGAGGAGAGTAACCCACTAACACTACCCTTGATATAAAATCGAATCAATAGTGCAAAACTCCACGACGACTGACCTTTATTTTATTGAGGTGTTCTGCTGCCCTGTCCGAGTCTACCCCGAAGACAGCGGGCGCATCAACRTCATCGTAAGCACTCGCAAATACATCCTCCACCTGAGCAACTGTGACGTGGTAGTCTTCAGCAGCTAGTTGAACTTCACCAAGTTTTTCTTCTCGGTCGTCGAGTGCAGCCTTGAGGTTTTCTATTCTCTTCACAAGATCGTCAACCTCTTCTTCCACTACGTGCTTGTCCTTCTCGGCATCGTTGAGTAATGCGCSAGCATTATCTTGTACTCCAGGTACACCAGATTTCAGATTTTCAGCGGCATTTTGGATTTTATGGAGCAATTCTTTTTGTTTGGCCAGTTTTTCTCGATCGCAAGATAAAGGTTCGAAGTCCTTTACTTGTTGTTCGGCTTTAGCTAGCATGTCTGATAGTGGTTCAATCTCATCTCGATATTTCTGCGCTTCTTCTTCGACTTTCTCGAGTTTATTCTGTCTGYCATCTGTCTTCTTTTTCGCATCCTCGAATCTGGTCTTCATGTCTGAGATCTTTTTCTCTAGCGCTTTCTTTTCCTGCTCATCGTCAAGGTTTTCAAGTACAGCTTCGCCAGCTTTCACGAGCTTCTGGAAAACTGGGTCCTGCACGAGGATGGCGTCTCGTATTGCCTCGTTTTCTTGTTTCTGTTCTTTAACAGAATCGAGAACGGCAGAGATGGGATCTGGAGAAGAAACCTTGGTGTCCAAGTCGTCCAGTTTGTCCAGGAAGTCATCAAAAGAGACCTGGAATTCCTGGCACTGTAGCAATACGTTTTGTAGCTTAGCTTGACGATCACCGACCTTGCGTGCGATTACATCGATGGGTGATGTGATTTTGTTTAGTTCGCCGCGAATGTCCTTGACGACTCGCGGATCTTCGTTACTTTCGTCAATGATATCTTTTCCAGTATCCTCTAGAGAGTCAAGTATTGCCTTGCATTTGGCTATTTGATCCCGTAGATCCTTAAAACAGAATAAAACAAGTTAGACAAGAACCTACCTCTAAAAGCGACCACATGACCCCTGTAAAACGGCMAATAACTTATATTCGGAACCTCCATACATCGGCCAGCCACTGTGGCATYCACTAGAAAGATATTCGCCACAGCGACATCTACCTTTATRAAGGGCTAAAAACGGATGCTCCAATATTCGGAACCTCTACATACCGACCACGCAAAACGAAGTTTTCATTAGACAGTTATCTACGACAGGGAAATCTACTTTTTAACCAACCACATGAGCACTGACAAGCAAAAAGAATTCAAAATCGAATATCCGCAACCTCTGTAAACTACCTAAGCGAATGGACGGATTTCTGCGAGATTACCATCTTACCTCAGCGTCTTGTAGCTGCTTCTTGACAACATCAGGGTCACTGCTGATTGGTTCCTGAGCTGCCACGGCTTCCTGAATATCTGGCAACTTTTCCTCGAGATCTTGCAAAGCATCATTGAACTTTTCAGCCATCTTGATCTCCTCGTCAACCTTCTTCTTGTGGTTGTTGAGCTTTGCTTGTAAATCTTTGTACTTATCTGCCAGGGCGTCTACATTATCTTTCACTTCTGCTGCCTTAGGAGACTTCTCRYCCAAAGCATCAACAAGTTCTGCTCCAGCATCCTTAGCCTTTTCCACCTCACTCTTCAGATCTTCCAGCTTCTCGAATAAGTCATCTATTTCCTTCTGGTCGGTTTTACCCTTCTCTAGGTCGATTCCAACAGGTTCGTGTGAAGCTATCGCCTTTTCTATCTCCTCCAGCGATTTTTCTACAGGTACAACAGAATCCTCGTACTTTTCTACAGCGTCTTTAACTTCTTCGATCTTCTTTTTCATTTTATCGACGCCGTCGCCGAGACTRTCGTAGCGTTTATTGACATCTTGGGCGTCGCCCTCAATGATGAATTTATCGGCCTGACAAGTCTCGACTAGATCAGCCGTTGTGTCGTTCAACTCTTGTAAGTCTGGTTTRCGGTCTTCCACCTCCTCRTCCAGATCTTTCAACGTTTTCATGTGTTTATCAAGAGTCGCTTTGTCGCAAGTTTCAGGRTCRATAGCGGCGAGTCGTTTTTCGGCACTGCTCAGCCATGGTTTGAAMGTCTGACTCTCGTACTTGTGTTTYCTTGACAACGGTACTACTTTGTCTAGCCGTTCCTGGCGATCAGAGGYGTGGTCTTTAACAGCGTCGAATCTCGTTGTAGTGTCGTGTAGTTTTTGTTCTAGTGYGTCTCGGTCGGGTCCAGGTTCTGAWGTGTCGAGTACATTCCCCCCGGCCTTCATGAGCTGATTGTAGACTGGTTCCAACTGAGATACAGCGTCTCGKATGGCCTGAAACCAGAAAMAAATCCGAYTTAATACACYACTGCAACTGCTGCGAGYKTCTAYAAAATGATTTGCAAGACTATACCTTGTGCTTCTGACTCTGTTCCTTGGCAGTTTCATGAATTCCAGACACGGGTTCCAGTTCTGCAACCTGTTCCTCAACCTTGGCCAGTTTGTCCAGGAAGTCCTCGAACGAGACCTGGAATTCCTGGCTTTGCAAGAGGACATTCTGCAGTTTGTTTTGCCTTTGGTCGACCTTGGCTGCAAGAGAGTCYAAGGCGGTTCGTACTTTGTTCAGCTTRCCGTACACGTCCGCCACGACCGCGGGGTTGTTCTTGCTGCTTGTGATGAGCTTTTGGCCATCGTTTTCTGCCTTCTGCAGGAGCGCTTTGTGATTAGCGATATCATCCTTGAGAAGCTACGACAGAAGGAAAACAAAATCGATCGAAATTAACTCCTGTAAAAATCGTTAGAATTTTAGTATATTAAGTTAAATAGACAAGAATTCTTTACAGAGGAGAGGAATAAATGACTTCATTATATAAAATACAATCGCTTTTACTACAAAGATAATTCTTATAAATTTCATTACGTAAAACTTAAAACAAAAACGAACACAGAGGCATAAAATGGTATTCAATTTGAGTATTCATTTACGTTTTACATTTATGTTAAATACGACGAAAAGTCAAGCAAARCTTCTCAGGAATTGAATTAAAATCTATTTTCCATAACAGCTGTTGTCACTTGTGCTACCATCTCTCTAGTACCCGTTAGCCACGACCTGCCTGCAATATTTACACCAACAGCTTTATTCAAATTAGAAGACTCTAAAAGACTTGTCGGGATTGCCTAGAATTCAGCGCAATCGAGATAAATATACGGTTCAAATTAATTCCAGCTTGTTATCAGTAAAGTATAAGGAGTTGTATATTTACTAGAATGAAATCTTCGTCGATTGATCCTACTCCATTCAATATTTCATYCTTCGAGACAAATATAACATTCCCCTTGACTCTCCGCCGTGCTGGTGTTCTTTTATTCGCCTTTGGTTTCAGAACTCTCTCCATTTTTCTCCATACTAATTAAACAAGACCTAAATGACCAATCCTTGTGGGGTTCTTCCAGTGAGCCATGCTAGCATCATAGTTACCCTCGCTGCTTTTAAATTATTTATTTATAAACGCGACGAACTTTCAAACTAACAATCACTACCCCGTTGTAGTCTCTTTAGACTACCTGCTAAATGCTTTGCTTTGATAGTGCGGATTGAAAGATAACTTCTCCTAACTTTAACTACTGGAACATATATGTTTGGGTAGAGAGAAAATGGATTACAGAAATCGGTGAAGTTATTGAAAGGTGTTAATCTCATAGCTTCTGTTTATAAACTGACTTTTTATTGGTGCAGTAAACGTTTGTATTATTGAGCTCCTAATCTCYCACCGCTTCTGTTCTAAAACCAAAGCTAAGCTTTATACAAAAACAATTTAATGCAACCGCAAATTTATATTGTTTTTTTAATATATTCTATTGATTTTTGTTTCTATTGTACTTTCATACCTACATTTTTGTTTTAGTCTTAGAACAAAAAGAAAACTATAAAGAGATTTTACATTGCTAATGTAAGAAAATTATTGTAGGACTGAATTTGCTCTGAAATTCATTCCAAATTATTCTATTTCCTCTTGAAAATATACCTTTAATTTTTTTTCTGATACAATGAAGGAATAATTTTAGACGTTAACTAACCCTCCCATAACGAACACACAGGCACAAAACACTGTTCACAACAAATTCAACATGCACACCAACAACCACAACGATAGAAATAGCAATAACATACCACAAAATGAAACCAAAATGAAACCAAAACTTGGTTTCCTTTTTCACTTTTCGTCATATTTTTACCTGGACTTCCTCGAGTTGACTCTTCACTGTTTCCGGCTCGGTGCTGATTGGCTGTTGCTGAGCAACGCGTTCTTGGATGTCAGGTAACCAATCATTGAGGTCTTTCAAGGCATCGTTGAATTCTTTGGCGTTAGCAATGTCTTCTTCAAGTCGTGCTTTGCGGTCAGTGAGTTTAGCAATCACGTCGTCATATCGGTTGCCGACTTCGTCGACGTCTTGTTTGACTCGAACAGCATCTGGTGATCTCTCGTCCACTTGGTCCATCAGGGAATCGACGTTGTCTTTGAGGGACTTCACGCCTGGGTCTTGTTCAGAAAGAGACTCTAGGAGTTCCTGTTATAAAGGGCGAGGTAAGGTCAAGCACCATAAAAAAAACTCCAATAATAATAATAATAATAATGCCAATATATTTTGAATCGTTATGAAGAACAGAGAAAATGGTTTGAGCATTTGAAATAACACGGGCGAAGAACATTGAAAGAAAAGGAACAACCAAGAAAGGGAGGGATAAAGAAAGGAAGAATGAATGGGAAAATGGGGGGGAAAAAAGGGAGAGGATAAAAGGTAAGGAGCAAACAAAGGAAGAAAGAAAAAAAGGAGAAAGAAAGCGTGAGAGGAAGAAAGAAAGAAAGRAAGAAATGACATAGGAAGAAATTGAGGAAGAGGAACCGGCGAGGGTGTTCTTACCTCAATCTTTTGCAGTTCGTCCTCACTCTTCTTAACATCAGCACCATACGATGCCGGTGCCTCCAAGATGGGCTGTGCCTGATCAAGTGTTTCCTCCACAGGTTCCATCACGCTATTCAGTTCCTTCATCTTTTCCTTCACGTCTTCAACTTGCTGTTTCCTGTTATTCAAGCCATCAACCACAGCATTCCACCTCTTGTTGAAGTCCTTGACTTCCGCTTGCGTCACTTCTGGATTCTCGCAGAGGTCGGCCAAAGACTCAGCGGTATTGTTGARTTCTTCGACAACTGGTTTCTTGGCTTCAACGCTGTCTAGTAGTTCCTGTAGAGCTTTCTCTTCTCGTGCGAGGCTCTTTTCTTCACAAGGAATGGGTTCTCCAGCAGCTAGATATCTTTCTGCGTCTTCGAGGCATGGCAACACGGCCTGGTGGTTATCATGGTAATTTTTCGAGTCAGGAGTGACTTCATCTAGTTTGGCCTTTCGACTCTCGACTTTCTCCTTCACGTCGTTCCATCGTTCTTCAATCTCTGCTAGTTTGTCTTTTAGTTTATCTTTCTCTTCACCAGGCTCCAGCGACTCCAGAACGTCCAGCCCGCAACTMGATACTCGCCCAAAGACAGGTTCAAGCTGTTTGACGTCATCAGAAACTTGTTCGACCTCGTGGACTTGATCACGAACGACGTTGTATACCGGCGAAACAGGGAGCATGCGCGCTAGGTSATCCTCAATCTTAGACAGTTTTTCTACAAAGTCTTCCAATGTTTCTTGGAATTCCTGTGTTTGCAAMACGACCATCTGCAGTTTGGCTTGTTTGTCATCAACTTTAGCGGCGATGTTGTCTAATGGTGTTTTGATCTTGGCCAATTTCATGTTGACCTCGGCCAAGAYGTTGGGATTGTTCTCGCAGCATTCTACGAGTTCTTCTCCGATATCTTCTGCTTTTACGAGGTCGCGCTTCTTGGCYGCCACGCTGTCCTGCAACTGYTCGACGTCTGCAAGCTGGGTCTTCACCACTACAGGATTACTGCTGATTTCTTGTGCAGTGTCAACAGCAACAGTGGTTTCTTCAATCCAGATGGTAATTTCTTCGTAGATCTCAACAAACTCGACGATCAGGACATACGCCTTCTTCAGCTGGGTTTTCTTGTCTTTGGTTTTGTTCAGCGCGTCAGCATATTTGTCATTCAAGTTATCCATTTGTTGTTTCAGGACCACAGTGTCAGTAGAAGTCTCCTCCATTTGGTCGAGAAGTTTGTGGGCCAGTTCATCTGCCTCCTTTTTCTGTGGCTCGCATTCCTCCAGGGCCTGAAGTGCGGCTTCAACATCTGAGAGATCTCTCTTAACGTTCTCGGGTTCAATCTTTGGCGCTTTGCAAGTTTCCAATGTGTTCTCGGCCTTCTGTACAGCGGCCTCCACGCATTGGATGTCATCCTTAAGCCTGTCAGATGCATTTTTAGCATTACTAAGCATTTCTTCTTTATCTTCGATATCCCTCAACAAAGCATTCCAGCGCTTGCTTAAGTCTTTTTTCTGTGCATCGATGACGTAGTTGTTGTCATGACACTTGTCAATCAAAGATTCAGCTGCAGTATTTAGTGAGTCATATTCTGGTCTGTGTTTCTCGACGTCGTCCTTCAAGTCTGTCAGTACCTTCAACTGTTTCGCGATTTCATCGGGATCACTAGATTTGATCTTRATTTCTGAAACTTGCTTTTCAGCGTCGACAAGCCACGGCTCAAACGCACTTTGTGCCTTGTGATATTCTCGTGCATCTGGAAGAACAGACTCAATTCTTTGGTCGCGTTCAGCTGCCTTGTCCTTTGTCTTCTGCCARCGTTCTTTCAGCTCAGCAATCTTCTTCTCCACGGCTCGTCTCTCATCTCCAGGTTCAGTGTTTTCCAGTACTTTCTCGCCCGTCTTCAAGAGGTTTTCAAATATAGGCTCTTGTTGATCAATAAGGTCTTGCACCTCCTCGTTATCTTCTTTTTGTTTCTTGGTCTCTTGATATTCAGGTGAAACTGGTGCTTCACTAACAAGTTGATCTTCAATGTTTCCAAGACGCGCAACGAAGTCATCGTAAGAGTCTTGGAATTCTTGAGACTGCATTGCCGCGTTCTGAAGTCTTGCGCTTCTTTGTTCTAGCTTACCGCAAAGTTTCTCCAGAGGTGTTCTGACCTTGTCAATCTTGTTTTGGATGTCATTAACAGTGTCGGGGTCGCGGACATTGTCTTCTATCAATCTCTGTCCAACATCTTCAAGTTGATGGAGCTTAACAAGGTAATGCTTGATTTCCTCTAGAGCATCATCCGTGTCCTTGATTTGAGCCTTGATTCTGTCAGGATCTGTACTTACAGGGTCGAGTTGTTCGATCTTTTCTTGTTCAGTTGGTAGCCAGTTTTCAATGTCAGYAAGAACGGTGTTGAATTCGGTTGCATCTTCCAGAGCCTTCTCTAGCGCCTTTTCACGCTCCTGAAGCCTTTCTGGAGTTTCTTTGGCTTTCTTGTTGGTGAGGTCAAGTTTCTCTTTCAGTTCAACGTTAAGAGGTGACCATTCCTCACCTGAGAGCAGTTTGTTCCCTGACTGGTTCATCTCTTTGATATCCGGTTTACGATCATCAAAAGTAGATCTCAGGGCTTTGACTTGATCAAGCTCCTCTTTGATCTTATCTACATTGGTTCCCAAAGGCTCAGAGGCCTCGAGAACGACTTCCGCTTGGGTGAACGCTTCTTGCACTGGCTGCAAGGCACTGTAGTACTTATCCAATGCTTCTTTCACTTCTTCTGCTTCTTCTTTCTTCTTCATGGCGTTTGCGTTAAGAGCATCCCAGCGATTCTTGACTTTAACAAACTCAGCCTTCACAACATCACCATCGATTTGACTACATTCTACATCAGTATCCGCAGCAGAATTCAAATCCTCAAAGTGTGGTTCATGGCAGAACACATCATTTAAGATCTTCTCCAACTCCTCTAAAGTCTTGTCTGCGTCTTCAGGAGTGTACGACTTCACTTTAATCTTACCAAGCTTCTTTTCTGTCTCATCCAACCAAGATTTGAATTTGTCGTTCTTCTTCTCGTATTGTCCCGCAGCTTCGTGGACTTCATCGATTTTCTCCTGCATGCTGTCGGCCTTGTCTTTGAACGCCTGCCAGCGAGCGTTCGTTTCTTCGAGTTTCTGTTGATGTTGTTCTTTGTCATCACCGGGTTCCATCTTCGCTAGCATTCTTTCTCCTTCCTCTATCAACTTCTCGAAAACTGGTTCCTTCTTCGTGATGTTATTCAGTATGAAATACTGCATGTTGTCTTTCTGCTCGTCGACAACCGAGAAGATAGCAGAAGCTGGTCGAGCGTTCTCCAGTTTTGTCTCCAGCTCAGCAAGATCGTTAATGAAGTCTTCACGAGTGACATCGTAAACTTGAAGCTGTAGAAGRACTTGTTGTTGTATTTCTCGTCGTTGTTCCATTCGTGCATCRAGGCGATCGAGTTGCGCACGCACTCTGGTTAGTTTGCACTGTACTTCTGCGACARCGAATGGATTTTCGCCGGTTGCTGAGATYAGCTCTCTTCCAACGCCTTCCATTCGATCAAGATTAGCTCGTTGTTTGGCAATTTCATCTTGAAGAGCCTGCAATAGAAAATTTTTCATTATTGTATTTACTTTAACAATCCCCTACTTGTCAAAATTAAAGTAAAAAAGATAAAAACRAGAACAGTAACTGACCTCGATTTGTTCAAGTTTCTTGTTGACGACYTTGGGATTTGTACTGATTGGTTCCTGAACAGCAAACATTTCTGTAGTCTCATCGACCCACTGTTGTAGTTCTTTCATTTCGGTATTGAAGACTGTTCCCTTATCGACGATCTTTTGTAGCTTGGACTCTTGGTCTTGTAGGAGTTCTTTGAGCTCATCGTGGGTGCCCAGTAGTACACCTACTTCTTTGCGCAACAGACTGACGTCTGGTGAATCGCTGTCGGCAGAGGTGATCAGATTTTGACCAATCTTGACAGCTTGTTGGACGTCTGGTTTGCGTGAGTCTAGAGTGTTAATCAACGCCTAATGGGAATAGAGAGTAACATGATGTTAATTGTATACTGGCRAAGAATACGGAAGGAACTTCAAACAAAGTATTTCCAAGCTTTATACTCTATGTATGGCTTATGAATACAAGTCGTATGGATTCTCATCGTTGACCAAGATTACAATAATTGATTCTACATGGAGTAAAAACTACACGAAGTATCTCCCTTTTCTAATCATTGCAAAGTGACTAACCTTAGTGTTACTGAGTTCCCGTTTGGCCTTTTCGACGTCACATCCAACCGTCTCCATGGGAACAATACCATCCTCAGCACGAGTAAACAGCTCGTGTACRGGCARGATGTTTTCTTCRTAYTGTTCRACCAGCTCYCTCACTGACGTAGTCTGACGYACCCTGTCATTCAACCTCAGGCTCACGCTATCCCACAATTTGTTCAGATACTGAATCTGTGCTTCCACCACGTACACATCGTCCGGTTGACTCTYGATGACGTCMGAAGCGAGGTCTTTGAGCTTCTCGTAATCTGGCACGTGATCTTCAAGCTGCTGTTTCAGTTTCTTCGCTTGTTCKACTTGTCTATCAATCGTCTTGCTGTCGCATGATACTGGGTCCTGATTGGACACTTTCTTGTCCATGGCTGTCAGCCAATCRGTGAAGGGTTCAACGTGAGTATAGTAGTTATGGAGAACTGGGGCGTGGCTTGTTATATCGACCTCTCGGTCAGCGGTCTTGCTCTTAACAGCTCCCCATCTAGCTTTGATGTCTTGGAGTTTTTGTTCCAGACTRTCTCGGTCAGGGCTTGGTTCAGCGTTTTCGATGAGCTGTTCAGTACGAGATATGAGTTCCTGGGCAAGATCATCGTTCTCTATCACGTCTTCTTTAAGCATCTTAGTAGGAGAAAATGTAATGAAATAAAAGGGTTAATTTTTGAACAGGCTTCTCTTCTTCTCCCGCCGAAATCAGGAGGAGAAAATTTCCATATCTCTCCCAMCCCCACTCCCTTCAAAATAATAAACCTTAAAACAAAAAAATACAAATCTATGAACAAACMCATACATCCCTGGCTATGGGCTAGYCTCAAAATTTGCAGTTTTAYTATAAAAMTGTTACAATACCCAATGKCAGATATAACGGTGTCCAGCGGTTTGCGCATGCACGAGTTTCGCCTGGTATCCCATCAGATTTGTTAGTGTGACTTGAAAGACTAACGGCTATTGGTAAAACATTTCATACCTTAAACTCGCGCTCTTGTTCTTTGAGAGTGTCGTGTACAGCAGAGACGGGTCTCATTCCAGCAAACTCTTCCTCGATTCCTGCCAGATCGTTGAGGAAGTCAGCCAAGGATAAATGAATATCCTGACACTCAAGCATAATACTCTGGAGCCTGTCGCGACGATCGTCCAGTTTGTTGGCGATACGATCCATCTTGGTGTGCGCTTTACTCAGAGTAGAGACCACCTTAAAAAAAGATTTTAAACGGCAATCAGGAAAAGACAAATATCGATGCACACCTTGGTCACGAGAGAGTGGAAAACAATGACGATGATAGTGAAAGWTATGCTCCCGTGTCTAGAGGCAGCAAAAAAAAAAAAAACACTCAAGAGCGTCTTACCTCGACAGTGACACGGTCATCTTCCTTGTTCGACTCCATCAGCTTAATCCCAGCCTCCTGTTCAGTATCAAGCACTTGTCTTTTCTCCTGCACYGAATCCAACAGTTCCTCAACGTCGTGTAGTTGTTTCTTGACCACTTCTGGTTCCGTGCTGATAGGATGCMRCTCGTCTATCACCTTAGCCATGGCYACGAACCAGTTGTTAAGTTCCTCATCACATTCCTTGAATCGAGTGAGGTGCTCCAGGTGATTYTCAAGTTGGACTTGTCGCTTCTCTAGGGCATTCTGTATCCCTTCAAATCGAATAAACATGTTGGTGACCCTCTCTTCGATGATAACTACATTAGAAGAGTCCTTCTCTAGAAGATCCATCAACTGCTGCGCCAAGTCTTCCGTTACGTTTAGCGCGGGAGTCTGTTCCTCTAGCGTGATGAAAATCGCGTGAATCAACTCTAATTCTTGTCTAAGGCGCTCGATGTCCAATAGCGGGGTATCGTAGGCGCATAGGATCAGCCCTTCAACAACCAATGCTTCAATGCTGATGATACTATCATGGAAAGTATTCCACAGCTCCTTCATCTTCTCGTGATTCTCTTTCTTCTTATTCAGCAACGATTTCACTTCATCGAACCTCTCATTTACCCCTTGTACTTCACTTCTGACGAACTCCACATCAAAAGGCTGGATTTCTAGGATAGAAGTAGTGAGGTCGTTGAGTTTCTGTCGTGACGACTCGTGCTCAATGAGTTCTTTCTCGACCTCGTCTAAGTTCTTTTCGTACAAATTGAGTCCATCTTTGTTGCAGGGTATAGATTTAAGCGTGTCAAGTTTCTTCTCTGTGATACACAGCCATGGAACCAGTTCTTTCATTATCTCGAGATACTTTTCTGCGACAGGCTCGATCTTCTCCAACATTGTCTGTCGGTCCTCGGAGGTCTTCTGAAGTTTCTCCCATCTCGTTTGTATGTGTTTCATGTGTTGATCGACGCGGTCGCGATCTTTGCCAGGCTTCGCGCTGGACAAGATATTGTCGGCAGCAGCTTTTATGGCTTGGTACACAGGCTCGTGCTCTCGTATTTCTTCCAAGATTGGCTGTGAAAAAGAGAACGAGAAGGTCACATCTATTGCTATTAAGGGGCTTGGTATGGGACAAGTAAAGGAAGAAAGTGACAGGGACCAAGGGTGTGGTCAATACATCAATAAATAAACAAATATTCTCCGGGGCTCAGTATGAAAACGCCTGACGAAATCAAGCAATTCAAGGGAACGACTTGAACTAAGGGTGTGGTTGATTATAGGATTTGCAAATTTTCCTTAAGGATAGTGCTAGGCTTAACCTACGAATTTTTCTGTAAAGGCAACACTCATATGATATTGAAACTAATCCATCCAAACGCATTAACCTTAGAGTCACACAATAGTTCCTTTTGTCTATGGAGTGGTATATTTATATAGTTTTATTTCTAATAGACCTTTCTAGCTTCGYATGCGAATTGAATATTTCAGATCACATGACATTCCCTCGAGAATTGTTCTTTTATGACGAACATGTTAAAATATTTACACATGAAAGAATCAACTACCAAGAGTGGCATCACGTGGTCTGAAATGGGTATAGCGAACAAGGAAGCTAAAACGGTCTATTCAACTTGGTACTTCTCAAGATGGCAAACGCTTGGCCGAAATATGTCAAGTAAAAACTTCAGGTTACGAAGCGCCGTTTATTACAAGAATAATAATAAATAAGGGGATGACAAACCTTGTGCTCTCTCTTCAGTTCTCTAATGGTATCATCATCCGACATGACAGGTTTTGCGCTAGCAAGCTTTTCTTCTATCTCTTTCATCCAAGCCACGAAGTCCTTAGACACAGACTTGAACTCTTGTGACCGTACCAAGCCACACTTCAGAGCATTCTGCCTCTCGTTCACAACACTCGCCAGCTCCTCTAGTGGCTCTTTGCTTTTGCTTATTCGGTCCTTCATTTCATTTTCAGTCGAAGGTTCACCATTGGCGTTGTCGATCAGCCAATCAGAAGCATCGATGGCGTGTTGAAGGCAGACCTTGTCATCGTTGAGCGCGTCTTGGATGTGTGAGGTTTCTTGTAGTTGTTTTTGGACCTCTTCTGGATCGGTACTGACTGGTGCAAGGTTGGCAACTTGGGCTTGGATCWTGGGAATATTTTCTTCTACTCGAGTGATGCTCGTGTCGTAGATGTCCAAGTATTCAACAACCTAAAACAACAGATATAGAGTAGTTACAACAGATGTTGTGTGGACGGGAACTGAATGACGCCAAATTCACGGGCCGGTAGTACCGTAATTAGCACATCCACGAAAACAGCGCCAGTGAATGCAGCCGGCACACAGTACGTTTACTCATATTTCTGAGTATGAAGGGGCGTAGCGAGGCCTCGATCTTAGGGGTGGGGGTGGGGAGGCAATGTACCATTTCCCCGCCAAATCCACAGGAATCCCGCATGAATTAATTCAATTCTGATGCCRAAAGCAAACTTTTAGTTCATTTATTTACACAAAACGTTCATCGATATCTAAAGCAGCGAGAATCAAGTTACAAACGATGCCTCACCTTGTCCAAGAAGGCTTCCTTCTCGTTGCTTTTGCTCTCTATYAAATCGTATCTCTGGTTGACAGACGCCACCTTTTCTAACACATCTGGATCTCCTGTTGTCTCTGCGAGTGCTTTGCCGTGTTTGACTAATTCCAGCACAGCTGGTTTACGATTTTCTAATATGGCAACAGATTTCTGGGACAAAGAAAGTTCAAATTTAATGAAAAGAAATTTGAACACGATTTAAAAAAGTATACATAAAATGCAACACACACACGCAACTAAAAACCATAAACATTTCCCTATCGAGAGAACTTCATTAGTTTTTTCCACCATGGGAAGCCCAACGAATGAGAGAAGACCTTGAGGTGACCTTGCCCAAGGAGGAAACATTTAACACCATTGCCTTCCACTCTGAACCAATCAAAAACAACCAGAACCCCAAAAACACGTGCMCGCCATGTTGCTTGATAAAACAAAACAAAAAACCAAGAGCAAATAATTTGTTAGAATTAACCCACATGGCAGCTACGATCACATGCACCACAAAAATGGTATCCCTGGTAGCCATGTTTTACCTTGGCTTTGCCGAGTTCTTCATGCGAGTGCTGTACATCCGTGATTAGAACATATTTCTCTACGACAAATTCTTGCACTTCCTCTAGGGTCAGCTCGACTACCATAAGGGTTTCTTGGTAGTCATGGAGACTGTCATGCACATCGTTCAGCTGTCTTAGTTTCTTGTCTACCTCGCAGCGAAGGTCATCGTATCGTTCATCGATCTTCGCCACCTCGTCCTCGATGACCTGTAGATCTGTTGTGACGTCTTTCTCTTTGGATATATCTGAATGGGAGGTGTAAGCTTCGTGTAGAGATTGGAGATCTGGTTCATGTGTCTTGACCTCCTCTTGAAGGAGCTACGAAGACAAAAAGGCATGTTAAATCAGGCTCAAMTAAAAATAACTCGTCCTTATTTTACGAGGGTAGAACTCAATARAAAGTAGCTAACAAAGGCCCTGTTTCATGATCTAATTGGAATTTAGAACTTGATATTTGTGGAGGAAGGAMAAACTGGASAACCCAGAGAAAAACCCTCGAAGCACTAGATAGAATGAGCTAGGAACTCTACTCACGTTCGATACCAAGTTTGGCAATTGAATACAGGCTGCATTGGATAAAGGCAAGCTTCCCCAGAGATGAGGCGGATTCATAATAGATGATCAGAATGAAGGAAGCAGCAGTGAAAATAAAGAAATATTCCAAGCCGTAATGCAAACTTACCTCAACYATTTCCTGGACATGCATCAGTTTTTCCTGGTCACTTGGAATCTTATCACAGTCTCTAAGTCTGGCTTCAGCCTCGCTTAGCCAGGTCATGAAAGGATCACTAGCCTCCTCATACACCTTGGCTGTTGGCTTTAATTGATCTAGTTTGGTGCTATGCCCATTCAACTTGTCTGATAGTTCCTGCCATTTGGTCTTKGTGTTGTTCAGTTTTGTTTCCAGTTTGTCGTGTTCTGGACCCTCGGGTAACGTCTCCAGTATCTTTTGGCCTTCTGTTGTGACGTGGTCAAACATTTGGCGATGGAGGTCCTGTTGATTGTTGATTGTCTGAATACAGAGATTTTGTAAAAAATCTTAACTTTTATTTCAGGATTTCAGAATATTTTGTTCTTAAAAGAYTAAGATCTTTGCAAGTGCTTGTTTCTCTACGCATACCAACTACTATTTGGTAACGATATTCTTCCTGTTGCTGCTGCTCTTGGTGTTACTTTGTTTTCCATTGCTGTTTACAATTTTGTTATTTCTGCCGCTGTGGCGGCAAATGTTTTGTGACTGGTGTTTTTGTCGTTTTACTGCTCTTTTTTGTGCTCATATTTGCGTTTGTATCTTTGAAGCTTTCAAGTTTRAGCATGATAGTAATAAATATGTGATTTGTTTGAAAAAACATAAATCAGATCACATCGTTACTAACTACCCAAGCAGCTAGTATAGTAAGTTTAGCGGTTCAGACGCACGACATTTCGGCTATGCTTCATAAATTTAGTTTGCGTTTATGTTTTGTGTAGTCGTAGTTGCGRTTATAGTTCTAGTATATACCAAACACATAGAATGCATTCTTCCTTACCTCAATCTTGCCCTCCTGATCTACGATGATGTTATACCTATTAGACACAGGTCCCAACAAACTATACAGGTTATTGGCACTGACGAACCATCGGTTCAGCTCTTCCATAGAATCTTTAAGATCCTGACTCTGTAATAAGGCAGTATGGAGGTTGGCTCGTTTTTCGTTTAGCGTAGCAGCAATGTCTTGGATTGGTTTGTCCACTTTGGATAATCGATCTGCCACATCTTCTTGTACTCCAGGATCGTCGTTACTCAATTCATTGACCTTCTCGGCCAGTTGTTTTGCCTGTTCAAGCATGGCTACCTTTTCTTGTACCTCGTCGTTCAAKTCCTAAAAAGAACGAATTATTGAGTAGGATAAATAAGGATACTTTTTTCAAAAATAAAAAGTGTTAAAAGGACACATGCAGAAGAAAAATCGCCTCTTCAATCTCATTGCGTATCATTCCATTATACTCTATTTAATTCATCTATCCCATTCTAGCTCGCAGTATTCTATTCCATCGTCTCTCTTTTCTTCTCATCCATTTACATTTTATTCCATCTCATCCATCAAATTTCAACTCATATCATATCATCCCATCTTATTTTAGCTCGTCTTATTCTATCGCATCACATCCTGTCTCCTTCATTCTTACTCCTTTCCATTATATACCATCTCATCCTACTCCATTTCATCCCATCTCATCCATGAGATCCCARCTAATGTCATGTCATGTAATGTCATACCACCCTATTCCATCCCTYCTTATCCATTCCATCCCATCCTGTTTTGTCCCATATTCATTACCTCCCACTAAAGTTAAAAACGCGAATACTTACCCGCAGTTCATCAAGYTGTTTCTTGATCTCCTCCGGTTCACTGCTTACAGGAAGCTCAGCCTCAACCTTTTCTTGGCCTTCAGGAATCCATTTCTGAAGATCGTCTACGATTCCAACCAGTTTGTCATAACTGTTCAGACCATCCCTCAGTTTCGATTGTTTCTTCCTCAAGCTTGATGACAGGCTRCGCTGTTTGTGTTTGACCTTAGCAACTTCCGTTTGCACCTCCATGCCTGGCTCCGTGTGAATGTTAATGACACGAAGCAGGCTTTCGCTTGCTCGACGGATGAGTTGTACTCGTTTGCCACTTTCCTCGATGTCTTTAATAGCCGTCTATCAAAATCAATTGATACACAAAATAAAGTAAATACGAATTTATGAAGTTATGAACTCTAAGGGTACTGGATAGACATGATGATTCACTTACGGACCTCCACTCCTCCCTCCATCCCTAAAAAAGAAATCCAATACAAATGTTCAAGTGAATGTTKATCTGAATAGACCCCTCGCACGTGACGTCAAACCAGCTGAATTTGTAGAACAAAAAAAATTTTGAATCTCCTGAAAATTGTAAACCTATTATTATATCCAAATCGAGCTGCATTCCGACGTGCTGCAAGGGGTCTATAAAGGAACACAGACGAGTTTATACGTACCTCGACTTTTCCAAGTTCGTCCTCGCTGACAGGAACATCCATTACCACATCCTCTACTTGGCTGAACACCTTCTCAACAGGCTCCAGTTGCGCACGGTACAGGTTGAGCTGTTCCTCTGCGCGCATCAGATTCTGCTTACGATCCTTGACTTTCTCTTTGAGTTCAATCAAGCCAGTCTCGCAGCTATTGACGCGCTCGGCTACATCTCTGACGGCCTTTGGATCGTCTTTCTTGATTGATGTGATAGATTTAGCTTTCATTTCGGCCTCTGCCAGGGTTGAGAACTGGGACTCGATTTCATTCTCCAATTCCTTTTAAAAAAATYGCGTAAACGTTTGAAATTTAAAAGTTGGTTGAATTTGAACCAAGTTGACCTACCAAGGTTCCTTCGTTTGCACGTGACATCCTAACTCCACTCCCTCCCCTCCCCTCCCCTATGCATGCAGTCTTCCAGGCTGTCCAAAGGTATCTTGAATGAATGCTGGTCCCTTCAGCTTGACACATGTCGCGCTGTCCCAAATACTTGGTAGTCACATACTAGAGATTATATCAATAATACTATCATATTCACCTGTACTTCTTCTATTTGTTTCTTGATGACCTCAGCATCGTTGTGGATAGGATCAAAATTGTGCAGCTTATCAAAAGCAACGTCTATAAACTTGTCGAGCTCGTCAGTAGTAGAGACGAAGGAGGATATATCTTCGATGACCTTTGCCAGCCATAGTACTCTTACATCTACCTTACGGCGGATTGCTGAGCAGCGCGTAGCCACAGCCTTGACACGCTGTTTGACAGGGGCGAAGTCGATGTTGGGATAATCTTCCTTCTTTACTTCATCTCCGACTTTCTCAATGTCTGCTTCCAAAGTCTGGAATTCATCTTTCAATTCCTAGGTAATGAAGACATACTGGTACTAAGTACGCACTCTGAGGGCTTATTAAAACAGGGTTAGCAGATTTCTTGAACYTCCCAGCTACTTCTCGTTTTCTTTCGCAAAAAGAATTACCAGGTAAGAGTTCTATTACTATAACTTTGAAAACGAAAACTAGCTCTTTGAAACTCAGAATACACGAGTGCTATCCCGTCTTTACTATCAAAGCTTGACTAAATGAATACACTCAAAATAAAGTTATTACATACCCTTCCGGCAAAGTTGAAATTGGAAAACGTTACGCACAAATTGAACGTTATGAAGTTTTTTTTACAAAAGTCAGTTTTCTTGCCTCGTATGACAAACAGTGCTTTCTTACCTTTGCACTTTGCAACTCTTCCCTTCCTTCTTCAAGATCAATTCCTTCATACAGAGGTTCCTCCAGGCTTCTTTCCACCTTCTTCACCGAGTTTTCCAATGGTAACAACATGTTTCTATATTTCTTGACCTTATTTTCGGCCTCACTGACTTGTTCTCGGCGTACGCAGTAAAACTCRTTGATCACCGTCCACCGTTCGACCACATTTTTTATTTCAGCTTTTACCTCGGGTACTCCATCTGTTACCCCCACTGAATCACATGTACCAATCAGATTGTCGGAACTCGAGACTAGAGACTTGTACACGGGACGATGGCCTTCAATGTCTTCTTGCAAGAACTGCTGCAGAAACTGAAATCATGAGAAATAGTTAATTTTTTGAGACTGTGAGCAACTGTGACAAAGTTGTTTAGCGCGATGCTTTTCCTAGTTCGTCTTCTTTGAGGACCACTCTTGTAGCTAAAGGAACTACTGACTTTTAATATAGGTACTTCGCCTAACACAGTGAATTGCTCCCTGCGCTACTGCTATTTTTATAAACATGCCAAACCTTTAGCTGCAAGCTGCATGCTGAAATTTGGTTTTCGCTGCCGTCAATCAAACCTAATCAGTCGGTACCTTTCATGTTTGACTGGYGGCAGCGAAAAACCAAATAGTTCAGTGTGCAACTCGCAGACACAGAGTTTGCATGTTTATGAAAATAACGGAAAGTCAGTGTCTTTCTGAAGATCTCTYAATGTTGCAGTTGAAGGATAAAGAGTAGAAGGTAAGTAAATTCAAATAACTCGTTACCTTGATCAAACCTCTTTCTCGTTCAAGGGCATGTTTTTCACAGAGAACTTCATCACAGTCAGATATGATCTCCTCCATTTCCATCAATGATGGCATGAACATTTCGATCCCTTCAGCGTACTCTTGAGCTGGCGGACACACTTCGTCGAGTYGTTCTTGACGTTCATTCGTTTTCTGGAGCACATCATCCCACCTGTCTTCCAGCTCCTCGATGTTTTTCTTGAGGTTCTCCTTGTATTCTCCTGGTTCGGATTTGGCGAGGATGTCTTTGCCTTGTCGGATGGTGTCGTCAAAGATGACCTCGTGCATGCTAACCKCGAGGTACAGGCCCTGAAATATTGATAACCAAGAGTGGAGTTACATTAGGATGACAATGAATGGATGGGTGCAAAGATGAAGGGGGGAAGGTGGGAGGTCTAAAGGAAGGAAGGGAAAAAAAGGAAGGGAGGAAAGGAAAAAATATAGAGGAAACGGAAGGAAGAAAAAAAGGGAAGAATGAAACAAAAAGCGAATCAAAAACAAKAACGAATTAATAAGAGACAGAACGATACTAAACCAAGAAAACGCAAACTCAGGTTTCCATTCTATATTTGTCCTAGCGTACCTCGTGGTCCAGTTTTTGTTGTGCAGCCACTACATATATAGCACTGACAGGTTCTTGTTCACCAAGGACCTTCTCCATGTCACTCAGCTTGGCTAGGGCTTCTTCAAGAGACAACTGATAGTCCTGTCCTCGGATGACCACATTCTGCAGACGTCCTTGTCTATTGTTGACCTTTGAATGAAGTTGGTCAAACGGTTGTTGGACTTGCTCGAGCTTTTCTTGCACTTCGGCGACCGTGGCTGGATCGTCTTCGATATTTTTAGCGATGTGATTCTTGATTTCAACCATGGTATCGATCTTTGTGTGATAGATCTGGAACTGGTTGATGATTGGCTGTTTTGAAAAAAACAGAGTAATGGTGTTATTCATGTTACGTCATCGTCATCATCATTATCATCAACATCGTCATCTCGAAAGGTACGACTGAAAAAAGTTTACTTACCCTCAACTCTGCCAACTGTTGCTTAGCTGTATCATAATCCTCAGTGGCGGGTGCCAACTCATCGACCAACTTTTTAATCTCAACCAACCAAATATCCACCTCTTCGTAGATTTCCATGAACACGACGAACTTGTCCAATCTCTTRGCCATTTTCTTCTTCACTCTCTTGACCTTACTCGTACTGAGGTTATAGCGATGGCTTAGTGTTGCTATCTCTTGCGTTAGGTCTGATGACTGGTCTGTCTGAGGAGGAGCACTGATTTCAGCTAGGTCGAGTTCTGCTTTCTGGTTCTCGAGACTGACGATCAAATCCTGAATAATAGGGGGAAAAACAGAAACTTAACAGAAGCTTATCATGAGGATCGAATTAGAATCAAATAAAGAATAGCAAAAGTAGTTTTCTGGGTTTTGATTGGTCAGGGTGCTAAAACTCTGTACGACCTGTTGATGTGCCATTGTAGTATATCTTGGAAAGTGAAGAGAGGGAAGAGGGATATTCAACCATCTTAAGAGATTCTAAATTATACAAAGCCCATGTTATTTGCGGTCAACGTTCAACCACTTATACATTTAAAAAGCGRCATGTTTTACTCTGAGCGGAGTGGGAAACGATAGGTAATTCGTAATTTAATAACACGTGTGCTTGGACGAAGTAAAAAAAGACGTTGGGAAATTAAATTTATATTACAGCATTTCATACCGTGTACGTGCTGCAAGTCAATACCGTATGTCACCACGCATACGAAAACCGCTCTACCACCAGTACAACACAATAAGAAAGGGGGAGGGTTCGAAAAGTGTGGTTGTCAAGCCTACCTCAACGCGTTGTAATTCATCTTTGCTCTTCTCCACGTCTAGTCCAATCTCAAAGTCCAAGAAAGCGTCTAAATCATCCAGGGTGTCCTTGACTGGATCAACAGCATTCTGGTATACCTCAACGTTCTGTTCTAGGACCTTCGCTTCCCTTTCAGCATCAAGGTTCACCATCTTTAGTTTTTCGTAACGGTTGATGAAGTCGCGGACTTCGTTCTCTACTGGTGCTGTTTCTATTTTGATGGGYAGAGTTTTGCAATAGTCGGTCAGTTCCTTGCCGCTAGCCATGACTACTTTGAGATTGTTACTCTCGTCCTCTACAGCCATCTTAAATTCCTGTTGAAGGGAAGGATTTTCAGTCACAAATACACATCTAAATAGTAAACACAGCGCAATCTTCACGTCGTCTTTTTTAGGGACACCAAAAACAAGAGTTTGCCCTATAMTGTAACACTCGGCAATAATTATCCTTTACTTAATCTAATTTTCCTCTAGTATTAACAAACTACCCGGCCAAACTAACCTTAATATCAGATCTTTGTTTTGCAGCCGTTTCCTCATCACGTGGAATGRCCTTCAGCCCTCCAATCTTTTCTTCTGAATCCTCAAGGAACGTATTGAACGGTTGCGACGCAGTTTGGTAACGTTCCATTAATGGTGCCAATTGATCGAGCATTTCTTTACGGTCAGCGGATTTGTCCTTCACGTTATTGAATCGGTGGCTCATGTCGGCGAGTTTGAACTTGAGGATATCTCGTTCGGGACCGGGGTTTAGGTTTCGTAGCATTGTATCCCCAGTCTTTTCTATGTGGTCAACCATTTGTTCGTAAGTTGAGATTTCTTGATGCAGAGTCTGTGGTTGAGAGAATCAGTAGGATTTCATTTATAGTCAAGGTAACATTTATAACATGTGCAGACAATGTTTACAACAATGTGAAAGCAGCCATGTTGAATAACAGCGATTAAGATCCAGACACTCCGTGCAACTGCCGCGGTGCGAAACGTTACGCACGCAAATAAAGTGCGTACTGTGTCTGAAACGTCGTTAGAGCAGTTTTCATATGACTGTRAAATGGTCAGTGCCGTGTGYGGGCCTTGCCGTGACCGTGATTTTTTCTAGATTTTTAGTTGGCTAATTGTTTTCTCGGCGCAATGTGATTGGTTTAGCATTGCCGTGACCTTGGCGTGACCGTGACCGTGTCCGTGTTTGTGCCGTGGCATTTGATTGGATGGAGAGTAAATTCTCGCGCAATGTGATTAGCCTTRCCGTGTCACCATCGCGTTTGTGCCGCGAAGTTTTCACAGTCCTACGAAAACTCCTCTAAGCGATAGGTGCGCACAACAGTTGCACTATGACACAAAGACGATTAATCACTGGCTGTGTGACCTCGTAAAGCCTCAAATGATCCCCAAGAAAAGTATGGAAACGAAAATGAAGATATAATAAAAAGGTTATAGACCCCTTGTATGTGACATCAAAGCAGCTCGATTTGGAGACAAAACAAAAGAATTTCAATCTCCTGAGAATTGGAAACCTATTGGTATGTCCTCCAAATTGAGCTGCATTCTGATGTACTGCAGGGAGTCTATAAAGCTAGTATTGAACATAACACATTAGTGCCTTACGTCTTGTTCCATTTGTAGATCATTAATCTTCTTGGTTCTTAACACAGGTGTTTCCTGTTTGCTCTGTCTCTTTTCCATCTCAGTCAACCACTGCACAATATCAACAAGAGAGTTCTCGAGCTCCTGTGACTGGATCATCATCACCTGCAGCTTCGACAAGCGATCTGACACCACGGCAAGCAAGGCGTCGTAGGCTTCTTCGTATGGATGGAGCTTCGTTGTGACATCATCTTCGACCACAGACGCGCCATCACTTGCTTCTACGAGTTTGGTTCCTGAGCTTTTGGCAGTGACGAGGAGGGCACGCTTGGCCATGAGAGAAGCATGAAGGTCCTAAAACGCATTTATAGAGCTATTAGGAATCATTACTTTACGGTTTGTGCTACGCGGCAATAACATGACTGATTTATGAGTCCACTCAAACAAACCATAAAGAGTTGTATAGACGTACTACCCATCTATTCATACAATTKAAAAGCAGTATCCTTTAAAGCTCATAATAGTAAGACAATTTAAAAGAGCAATTATGCCTGCGCTAYGGACTAAATGATACTGTGAGCTATAAGTTAAAGACGAATTAAAAAAATTTTCCTGAAGGGCGTATGCGTGGTTTGGGAAAAGCATTCTCTATTTACAGACAAGTAATGTCATCTTACCTCGACCTCTTTCAATTGCCTCTTCAACTCTTCAGGCTCACTACTGATTGGCTCAAAGCGCTGTACGGCAGCCATAGCTTCAGGAAGCCAAGATTCAAACTGGCTGAGCGCACCTTCAAACTGTTCTGCGTTTGCAATAACACAATCTAGATCTTTCTTCTCACGCTCCAGGCCCGCTCGTACCGCGTCAAATCGTTCGTTCAGTGCAGCCATGTCGTCTTGGATAAAAGCGACATTAACCACTTGTGAATCAGAGTCGCAAACCAAATCTCGGCCTACGTTGTTGGCCGTTTCAAGGTCGTCTCTGGAGTTTTCAAGCGCTGATAAAAGAACCTACAAGATTAAGATTGAATGTTATTATAGCAAATGCTTTCGTTTGATTACACAAAAATAAGTCGAGTTTGGAGGAAGTCAGTGACTTTCTCCTGTACTTCGGGCTTTTTTCTGGGTTATAAGGTTTTCCTCTGTCAGCAAAAAATAGCACATTCTTTCTGATCCACAGCAGTTATTCCTTCGCTGTCACAGTGTCATGAAAGAAGCGAATACGTTTAATTTCTAAATCTCACCATTAAAGTATCTCTGTTAGATTTCGCTTGTTCTAGATCCACTCCAGTGCTACCTTTCTGTTGCAGAACCTCTTCCGTTCTCAACAACAGGTTCGACATCTTGCCGACTTTTTCCTTGTAGTCCTGCAGTTGTTTTTGTGCAGTCTCAAGCTTTTGCTGCTTGTCATCAACCACATCTTTCATCACCGACCATCGGTTTAAGATCTCCTTTGTGAGAGCATCTATCGGTTCGAGCCCTGCTGTTATGTTAGCTGCTTCGCATGCTTGCTGGAGATTGTCTGCTGCTGTCAAGAAGAACTTGAAGACCGGGTCGTGATTGGTTATATCTTGGTGCATTTCCTGGAAAGAAGCAACACAGTGATTGGTTAACTTCAGCTGAGGGGAATCCCTCCATCTTTAAGAAAGTTTATCTTGTACTGATTAAATTAATTTATTAATCATTATTATTTTATCATTCATTTCAGCCCTGTACATACCTTAACAACTTGCAACTGATAATTGAGCGCGTCCTCATCGCATGCAACTGGCTGCATGTTAACGACTCTGTGTTCTACATCCCTCATCCAATGATTCAAAGCTCTAAATGCGTCATCATAGGCTTGCGCAGTGGGAAAAACAATCTCAATAACATTCTGTCGGTCCTCAGCTTTGTCCTTGACTGTTGTCCATAGAGTCTCAGTTGCAGTTACGCGGTGTTCTAGTTCATCTCGTTCAGGACCAGGAGGTGCTTCTAATGCAAGATTCTGTGCAGCTGGAATAACGTATTTATGAATAGGTACGAGACTGCCAATTTCTCGAATCACAACCTAGATAGGAAATATATTTCGTTAAGTAATAAATTAATTTAAAGTCGAAAAATATTACTGCGTCAATATTGATGTGAAGACAAAACTTCTTCACATACAATCCGCTTCTACTGTCTGGTAGGCAATAAAAAAAAGGCCAAAACCTGTCCTAGTTAAATGATGCATAGRATACAAGAAAGGATTCGGTAACACAGAGAAATAGCAGATATCGGAGTTACACTCTGTTGTATTCAAACAATTGTTTCAAGTCGAGGCATTTGGGTCAATACAATGAAATATATAGAAACGGACCCAAATGTAACAATTGTCTGAAGGCAATAATGGACTCCGATATCTGCTATTTATTTTCAATGGGTAATATATTCCTCCTGAACCACCCGTCAGTTCCATCAACCATCTTCCTCCATCGGCACCGCTTCGCAGGTTACCATTCTGCTGAATGACTGTTTTTTTTAATCCAGGAATAGACCCCTTGCATATGACGTCAAATCAGCTCAATTTGGAGAACAAAACAAAATAATTTCAATCTCACGAAAATGGGAAACCTATTGTTATGTCCTCCAAATTGAGATGYATTCCAACGTGCTGCAAGTGGTCTATATGTCTCTCTCAAGAGGTCGAGAAGGTCTTGAGTATCAAGTTCAACCTATCAAAGATCCCATCACAGAAGCAAATTGGCTGGTTGCTATATTTCTGCTGTAAGTTGTCTTAAAACTTACCTCATGGCTTTTGCGTTGGTCCTTGAGTATACCATATTCTGCCGACACAGGTTTAGCTTTAAGCATCTTTTTATCCAGGACAGCGATTCTCTTCTCAAAGTGATCCAACGTCTCGTTGACCCTCTCGCTTTCAGTCAACGCGGTCTCCAAGCGGCGGCGTCGATCCTGCAGCCTCACAGACACCTCATCGATGGAGGATCTAGCGTTGGTGATACTCGATTTCACCTCACTAATGACTTCCTCCTTGTTGTTGTTTTGTTTGATGATCCACTCGCCAGTCTCTTCCATAGTTTCGATTTTTCTTCTATGGATGACTACCTCCTCCTCGAGGTTCTGTACATGCTGTAGTTGGTCTCTGATCTCATCAACGTCAGTCATAACGATTTCTACCGTCACATAGCGCATGATTCCCATGACTTTACTCTCGACTTCTCGGCCAGTTCCTTCAAATACCTCCACAGTTTTGATGTATTTTTCGAGCTTGACTCTACGCTCCTTCAAGCGGACCTGCATTACGCGGTTATCTTTGATGATGGTGATGATATACTCGTTGTTAGTGACTTGCTTAGACAGGCGCACTAGTTTGTACTCGGATTCCTCCAACACATGGAGTGTATTGTTAACCTTGGTCAGTTCTTTCTTTACTKGCGAGATATCGGTACCGTAAGCCGGTTCTTGTGCGAGGATGCTCTCGGCAGCGTCCATCGCTTGTTGCATTGGCGCCATCACTTCACGCAATTGCGCCATTGTTTTATCTGAATTTCTGAGCAACTTCTCTCCTCCCAAGACCGCAGCATTATGGCGTTCCCATCGTCGCTTATTTTCCTCGACGTCTCCAATGACGACGACTGCGTCTGTGTTGATGTTCAACTCGTGGCAAATGCTGATCAGTTCCTCAGAAGTCGAGACGAGGTTTTGGAAGACAGGTCGATGGTTTTCGAGCTCTTCACGAAGTTTCTTGATAACTTGTTTCTTTTGACCAAGGGTATCAATGTCGCTAATCTCTGTGTCCAAAGCTAGCTCAGTGAGGGTGCGCTCGTCAGCACTCAACCACGAGAGGAACTCGTTTCTTGTTTGAACATAACAAACAACAATAGGTAAAAGTCGTTCCATCTCTTTTCTGCGATCTGCCATCGATTTGTTGATGTTCTTCCATCGGTTGGCCAGATCTGTCATTTTGAGTCTCATGTTTTCTCTCTTGGTCTTGGTTTCCAAGCGATCAGCCTGGTCCTCACCTTGTGCCAGGATATCGTTAAAGACTTGCTCGTAAGACTCGATTTCTTCCATTAAAAGCTGCAAAGTACAAAAGAACACTTTAAATCGCGAAATGGAATAGAATGAAAATAGACAGGAAAAAAAAACTCAGAAAAGGCCGGCCTTAGATTGGAACGATAATATTTTTTTGCTYTGGGACTGAGGACTGTTATCTAAGCTTACAAAGACTTTTAAAAGTCACTTTAAATATACCTGCTGTTCTTTGTTTTGCTTTTTGATGACAACGGGTCTAATGGAGAGCATCATTTGCGATCGGACTTTCTCCTCTGTCAGGCTCAACCACTTCTCGAAATCTTCAACCGTCTTATTGAAATCTTGCTGCTTGTACACTGCAGATTGGAAGTCTGCCATCTTGTCGCGCAATTTATCTTCCACCRTCACGTATTCATTTGTCACGGCTTGGACATTATTGGTAATATCTTTGATAAGCTTTTCATCGCCGAAGTTCTTTTGCATCAAAGCGGATCCAGCGTGTTGTAAGGAGCCTAATGTGGGCTTCAGCTGGTACAGCTCGATTTGTAACGCCTTCAGTTCGTCCATTTTCTTTCTGAGCTGTACTGGATCATTACCTAATGGCTCGTCTGATATTTGTTCATCAACCTTCTTGATTTCATCTGACATTGATGCTAAGGCTTTAAAAAACCTACCAATGTTGTCGTTCTCAATGTCCTCTCGTTTGCTCTCCAGTTCTCGTTTCACTTTTTCATAGCGCTCGTTAGCCGTCTCTTGCAGCTGCCGCAATTCTTCGGWTTCGCCATTCATTTCTTTGAGTTTATCAGCCAGTTCTTTAGCTATTTTATTCATCCTATCGACATCACGCTTTCGTCGATCCAGCACCAGAAGCACTCCTTTAATATTTGGTAATTCCTGTTTACATTTCTCTGATGATAATGGTACTCCGTCCAGCGCGTGAAGCTGTGTTTCGCCTCTGTTTACTACACCGTCAACATTCTGCAAAGCATCGTGGAATTTTCTTGCGAGGGGAAGAATTTGATCCAGTTGATCATGACGTTCGTTTACCCTTCTCTTTATGTCTTCCCATCGTGGTTTGATGTCATTATAAGATTCCTCGATTTCTTGCCGTGTAGGGGATTCAGGCTCGTTTTTGAGGAACTTATTTGCGTCTTTGTCGATGTATTCGTAAGTGGGTTGATGGTAGCGTACGTCTGTTCTGATAGCAAGGTGTGAGATCTCGTCTTCTTTCAGTTTGAGAACTTCACACGAGTAAGGTCTGGCTCGGTCTAGTGAGTCTTCCACTGTCCGTAACCAACCAGTGAACTCCTTCATGACTTCGTGCAGATGATCAAATTCTACAGAAGTGGGACGCACTTCTTCAAAGGTCAGGTCAGTTAGGTATTTCTTCTGTTCTCTGATGGCTCCTTCCAGTTCGTGGAATTCTTTCTTGACCTTATTGAGAGTTTCTGCGACTTGTGCTGGAATAACTTCATTTTCTGGTCGGCCATCTGGCATTCTGTGTAGAGAAAAGAAGACTTTCTTATAGATCGGGTTCGAGAAAATGGGGGATGGTCATTTTTAAAATTTCCCCTCCCTCCCCTTCCTCCAAAAATGGGGTCAAAACAATCGGAGAAAGGTCTTCACTATAACAGTGTATAACGTGGACTAAAAGACCCACTGAAGACTCTGGTTACGAGCATCTTCATTGCCCGCGCTAACGCCACAGTACCGACAGTAATTAGCGAGATAGTTGTTGCGGTGTTTGAAGGGGAGAAAAATTTTTTCACTTCACATCCGCGTCGMGCAAGGTCTTAGAATGTAGACTATAAAATGAATTGATGGGTACTCACGTGACTTTGGATTTCTGTGCGTTCCTTATCAGCCATTCTCCTGTTACCGTAGCTGAGGTAAGAAGAGGTCGATTTTGTTCCATCTCACGATGAAGATCCTAATAACAATTGAAAATCAACAATTACATCAGAACCAAGCTTTTATTACTAAAACCACCTTTCTACAGAGCAGTTCTGTAGTACCGAGAAAACCGGCACGTCACGGACGCGTTACCCCGTGACGAGGTTTTTGATTGGCTAGGTAAGAGTCACGCGCAATATCACTAATTGTTCAACGGATGACCGTGACCGTGCCGGGATTTTTTAAAGGCCAAACAAAGAGCAAGAAATAATGAAATTGAATGTCGTTAACCTCTAGTTCAGCTATCCTGGCMAAAATGGCGTCTTTGTCTTTGGTGTCCACATTTTTATCAAGTTTTTCCTTCCTGGCTGACACTTTCTCCAGTAATTTTCTGACCGCCTCTTGGAATTCGAGCGCTTGTTTCAAGTGGTCTTGATAGTGCTCTTCGTATGCCGAGATCTTGACTTTGATCTTGGATACCCGGTCATTCAGTGCCTTCAGCTGATCTTCAACACCCGCGGTTGCTGCGRTGGGGCCGTCCATGGCTCCCAGTCTACGTCCCTCGTTTTGTGCATTATTTGCAGCATCCACAAGATCTTCTTGTAATACCTTACCAAGAAATAAACAATTGAAATTAATAACTATATCAATATAGGAACAATTCAATTTTCGTTTCCATGGTCACATGGAAACACACGCAGTAATGTTAGCTATGCCTACACATAAAGAGAGCTCTTTTTGACTACAGATGTCATGCAAAATGCGGCATAAAATGTATATTCAATGGCTACTACAACTGGCTAGTAAAAAAGATATGTTATTTTTGTGATTTTGTCTAGATATTTTTGGTAATTAAGGTACTATATAAAAGACTGATTGATTCTTTTTTTAAATTGTTAATACTAATACGAAAGTCTGTAGTGTCTCTTAGCACACCAATTAAACAACGATAAAAGAACAAGGAATGCAGAAACAAGTGAATGACACATCTCCATAATTATAAATAGTCGGGTAAGCAGATAGCGTGCGTCACATCCGGAATTTTCTTCGTATTTACGAAGGAAATTCCGGATGTGACGCAGGCTAGTAAGCAGATGGAAATCTCGAATGATGGTTTCTTAGGAAACTTAAGACTTATAAATATACCCTAAGAATGTTTTCTTTTTCTCTGTCTATATACCGCTTTATTAATTATATCAATAAAACCTAATTTTCTTTCTTGAACAACTTGTGTTTTTCAAATAAAGGTTTTAATATTACTGTCTTGAGACAAAATGCACACAAGGCTAGGTTTTTAAGTGTTTTGTTTGAGTCTCGACCAATGAGAACGGGAATCAATGACCTCCCTCGAAGATGAGATTGGATGATGTCTGTCCATTAATCAAATCATTAATTAGCATTTAATTCACATAAGTACTAAGTGCATTCACGGACGATATAAACGTATCTTAGCAAAGCGGTTTCGRAGACAAAAAAAATCATGATTAAGTTATAAGAAAATATGCCTACGAAATCATCTGGCAATTCCGTTCATAACAGAGTACATCTAGTTTAATAGATATAGCATAAAATAAAGAAATAATAAGAGAACAATTTGATAGGCAATGAAAAGCAAAGAATACGAAGAAAAATATATTTATCGATCCTGTAATCTCATTATAAACAGAAAATTAAAATAAAATGAAATAAAATAAATGCTTTTTCCTTGGTTTCCTGTTTTTCTATCCTCCCTTATATTCTTTTTTCTAGTATTTTTATATGTAGACAATCTTAATGAAAATAATTGAAAAAAATCCTTTTTGGGTTCGTGAGAGAATTCAGCACTTGTGCTATCTAACCCCTGCGGGCGAAAACCTCCTTTTTTGTAGATGAAAATATTGCTTTTCTTTTTAATTCTAAAATAGTAAACAATGTAAAATAGTGAAGATTACTGGAGTTTATGTGTAAATAATTCCATTGATCGCGAGGTAAAACTTTCTAGGGAATTCGCTAATTGCCTGTTAGAAATCTAGTTGTTTGCTTGCACTATACTCCTTTTGTASAGTTAATCGAAAATAGCGTTGTTTTACGCAATACAAAGCTAGCTAAGTGAATGTTTGCTAAATGCCAAAAGCCTTCCATCGATCTTATTATATGGCAACGCGAAGTACATGATGTTTTATTGCTGGAAGAAAGTTATTGAATGTCGCGACGCATATCTAGAGGATTGATATTTTGTCTTCATCACATATAAACGGACCTCATTGTAAAGGCTGTACAAATTCAATAAAGCATAAACGTCGAGGGATTTATGATTGACAATTTACAAGGTAGGATGTGAAAAGAGTAAACAAAGAACAAATTTAGGTTGACGCTAAGGACAATGTAACGCAATCTCTCTAAAAACTCGATCGGAAACCGAGCGAAAAAAGCCTCAATAAAAACGACTAAATACCACCTAGATCAAAACCATCGAAGATTTTTACCTCTCCGAGCGAACGTTAAGAAAACTAAACTACATATTATCGTTAGAGGGTAAAAAAGCACGAATGATTTCCATTCGCGTGACCGTACACTAAGAGTGATTTCATTCAACGAGGATGCTAACTGTTTAGGCTGCATGCCTGAATAAAATACCAATTCAATAAAACGCCTACCTCATTCGGGCTTATAAAGCTGTCATACCCCGACGAAAAAACACTAGGAGTGAAAACAAAGTGATTTATTGCCTTCACACAAGTGGAATCCGTCTGGCTTTCATTTTTCCTTCTTCTATCATGAGAGACATTCTCTTGAAATGGTGTTTTCCAAACTGTTATAAATTTACAATAATTTTCCAGTTCTGATAATTCACAGCTTGAGTCTGTGAAATGCTTCTGCATATTCCTTGGAGACTTCCTATTCTTGATACTTTTCTCTCCGTTGCTTACATTCCCATTTACATTTTTTTTAACAACAAAGCAGCGTTCTGGAGATTCGACTGGAAGATTGTTTTGGTCTCCGAATACAATAAACAGTACATTTGTAGTTCTGAAATTCGTTTCTTCAGTGAATACAGTACCGAATGGTTTTTTCTCCGAGTTCAAATTATGGTTACAATCGATATTACAGTTCAAATTTGACCGTATTGCTTGAGTTCTGTTTATCTCGACAGAGTTTCTGATACTCGAGCCAGCGACATGAGGCAGAGCTTCGCCAGAACTATCGTGCGCCACGGAAACTGTCGTTTCCGATCCACGGTAGATTACCGAACCGCTCTCGGACGAGCATTCGCTCCCTAAACCTTCGTCTGCCGTTTCCATATCACCGTCGTCCATCATTAACAATCGAGGAGTTTCTCCGATGGTAATTCTGTGGTTGTTTCATTCTCAAAGCTAGTTTGACCGCTCAATGAGAATCCAATTATTTTCATTACAAACTACAAAATTGATTGTTTTTTGAAGCGAATATCCAATACAATGTTATGTTTCTATTTGAACTGTAAATACAATTGGAAAAAAGGCAGGGAGTCGACGAAATCAGCCACTTTTCTTTCGCATTTTCCTGAGTAGACTTGATTATATATTCAGACACATCTGCATTTCACCGTGGTGATAGTGTCATGTTGCTTTGTTTGACTTAAGCGCGCGTTCTGACTCGTTCCCTGTTCAATAGCAAACATATTCCGGTGACTTATCTCATATTTTATACCGTACGAGACACGACAATTGAACAACACCTCGAAGTTATCTTCACCCATTATTTGGAATTACAATTATACAGTATACAATACTGGCTTCTTTGACTAAACATTAAAGCAATAGAAGATAAATTGGAGAAATGCAAATAACTATGATTATGATGAGTTTCGACATATTTGCATTACTCGTGTAGCGAGAGTCTATATTTCAAGAGGAGTTTCATCAAACAGGTTAGGAGTTTCATTGTACATTCTAGAAACAACAAACTTCAGAGACAAAAAATATATTTATACGAATAAAATATCAAAGGCTACTCCATTAACAAATGTTATTAAGTTAAATACTGTCAAAAAGAGATTTTCGTTTCGTGTAATTTGAAAGGACTTCTGTTTTGTTAAACCCCTTTACAGTGAGTCACGAGCTTGGTCTGCCAGGACAGGTTGGCAGCATCTTCAACTGAGACTAAAATCTTTCTAAAGAGATGTTCATCCTTGGTTGACGTTTTTACAAAAAGAAAAAAATATGTTCAGCAATTAAAAAATAAAAGAATCATAAGGATAAACTGAAATTATTGTTATTTTCTCTCTTCTCATTCCATTTCCTTCTTCATTTTTTCCTTCTTCAAGGAGAGAAATGAGAAATCAAGATGCTCGTTCTTGGCTAACCTTTCAGCAAAAAATTTTCCATAAGCATTWAAAAAAAAATTATCTGTGTCTTTAATATCTCTCATTTAGCTCGTGTTTTTTTTTTCTCCTTGGGAAAACAGTTCAGATCCCATGAGAAGCAAATAAGCCCAACGTCCGTCACAGAACTAATATCCAAGCTATCATTTCAATCATTTTGTTATGTCTGAAAGCTACTGAACCATAGTTTGGCAATTCAAAATTATTTCCTTTTAGTAAATTGAGGTGTATGAAAAGGTGAATAATATATTACTTGGATAATTATTTCAATTATACAAAAATACTTCTAATAGATACTTATATAACATAGTTCACAACCAAAGGATTGGTAAAATACATCAATTCGAGACAGATATGTCAGATCACATTACTAGCTTTGAAATTCAAAATTCATTCAGCGTTTACAAAATCTAGGCCACCCGTAGTGGAAGAATAACAATTCYACAAATAATACTCAAAACAAAATAAAGAGTTGTTGAATGATGTTGAACAAAAGATAACTGAATCTCGAATTTGTTTGGATGACCCAGGTAAAAAATGGGGGGGGGGGGGGGGNGGGGGGGGGGGGGGGGGGAATCAAACTATTAAAAAGTTATTAACAATATTCCTTTCATACATGGCAAGAGCGGAACTTAGTTCGTTTGCTCGAAACGAGGAAATTAGGTGGCTGTCAAAAGGCTTCCGTTATTAACCAACAAAAAAACGCTTTCGATTTCCGATTCATGAATAAGAAGCCATGACCATTGATAAGAATAGTACATGRCTCCCCAGTGTTATGCAGACAATCGTGAGCGTGCGCTCACCGGCAACAATATAACTAAAGTTACTAAACAGAGCTCCATGACAGCCGCGCCAACTTAAAAAATTGAAGTACTATTTGTCAGGGTAATTGCTACTTCTAGAAATTTCTGCTTCAATCATGCATTACTGTTTAACAGTTATCGTTATCAGCTTTAATGGCAGTCTTGGCTATTCTAATGAACAATACAGTCAGTCAGCCAGTGATAATGAATAAACGACTCCACGTGGTGGGGTAACGCCCTGTTTACACGAGGAGAGGGGGAGCCAATTGCCAAGGCTTATTCCAATGTTTCTGGTGCCTTCCTTCATGTAAACGGTGCATTGAATTCTAAACATCATTCGCGCAAGCTTGTTTAAGCGAAATTAAAATTATAGCATGCTTATTTTCAAGAAATTCGTCATTTCTTTTCTGTCTTTAACTCCTCCTGCTGCTGTTGCATATCGGATCCGAGTCGCCGTGCCTTACCTTTGCTATCCATTTCCAAGATAGGCGCAGCTGATTAATGCCTTACGCCGCGCAAAGGATTCATTTTTTCAATCAAATTGATTTTCTTACCTTGAGTTCCCCGATTTCTTTCAAGATTTTTTCAGGTTCATCAGCAAACGCTCTCTGCTCGTCCAACTTCGCTTCAATGCGCTCCACGATCTTGGCGAGTTTGCTCTTGGCTTCATCATAGTTTTCTGCACGGTCTTTAACTTCATCTTCCTTCTTCTGCCTGGCGTCTACTTTGCCGTTAATGTCCTCCCATGTCCCCATTACCTGGTTCACTTCCTCTTCAAGGTTTCTACGCTCCTCAGGAGGCACCTTGAGAATAAGTGCCTGAGTGACTTCTGCGAAGTTCTCGATGATTGGCTTATGGTCCTTGATGTCATCACTGAGTTTCTTTATGGAAAAAATAAATTGCAACGAAATTAGAAACTTTTATCATGGCGTTTGACTTAATGAATGAAATTTCTATACGCCATCGACCAACGAAGGAGAGGGGGAATAAAGGGATGCACAAGAAACAAGGATTAAAAGGATAAGAGAAGGAATGGGAGAGTAGAGTAAAAATACACAAAATATAGAAAGTTAATCAGGTTATTACTTAACACCTCCCCCATCAAAAAAGGGGAAAATTCCTCGACCCTTCCAACCCTTTTCAACCAATGAAAGAGGTTAGATGCAAATAAATCGATAAACCTTGCCAGTCACTCCTGTGGTTGGGCAATGTGTAAGCAATAAGAGTCCCACTTTCTTCTGCTTTTCCTCATGTCTCTCCTGTTGGACGATGCCGTACATAATATTTCTTCACTAAGTTTCGTTTCTATTTACCCCTTAAAGATTTCAGTAAACCATTTTATCTTTTTTTACGAGTAATTATAATTTTATTTCTCAGTTAATAATGGCTTTAGAAGTAACCCTTTCCGCGACAAGGAAGGTATTATACTTGTTGAGTTTATTCGTTAGAGTTAGTCTGCATGTGCAGTTATGGTTATGTTCAGTCCCAGACGTTCAACCTGTTAATAGTTCAATCGTTCGGGTTAATATTTATTGGGTTATCCTTTAGCCTGGCTTCAATTACATTGGCCGAGGCCTCGTTCTAAGTTACAAAACTTATTCAGTTTTTCCCCTTTATATTTTGCATTTATTTGCGTCAAATATTAATTCAAAGTAACATTGACAATTTATTTAAAAACATTAGTTATGCAAAATTGTTAATTAGAATTTTATCTAATTATTGGTGTTAGGATGGTTAGTAAAATCTCTTAGGGATTACTTGGTTATTAAACTAAGGTATCCGCTGTATTAACGCGGTTCTACGTTTGAGATGGTAACTCGTTTTATAAAACCTTCGTTAGAAGTTTAAAATTCAAAAAGGAAATAAAATGAAATGGTTGTGCAGTGGATAGGTGTAGTGGATGTCTTAGAAATCACAGGATTACATAAATGACATAGAGTATTACTGGTGCTTATGACAGTGCAGCGCGTCACACACAATGTAATGACTACTGGTCCATGCGCAAATACTCCGCTGGTATCGCCGATATAAGTACAACTGTGGAATGAAATACTATGGAAGTAATTAACTATTATTATGATCTACAGTAAAGTATGAAATGATACACAAGCTAATAATTAGTTATCACTACATGTAATGTTTAACTATGATCGAGTGAATTAAAGTGCAATTACCACATCTTTACGTGAAAAACAGACGGAGTATGCATGCATATACTCTTTCGGAGAATACAAGTACGAGACAGTTCGAAAACACCCATTATCATTTATTAACCATGCAGAAGAAAATGAATGGAAGAGCTCGGTCCTATTGTCCATTTGAAGAGACAAGAAGAATCGAACGCTTGCAAGAAATGTTAAGTGTACATTGATACGAACAAGAGTGGGGGGGATGCACACTTGATATACAGTGACAACTATGATAGGTGACTGAGCTGAAAATGAGAAGATTTAATATGTACTTTAAGCTATTGTTGCTGTTTATGTTTATTATTCGTCATTAACCAGCATGCCTTGCCTACTAATTATGACCATTTATAACGCGGTTTAAATCAACGCGATTTCTTTAAATTAGTGTTATGAACTTCTACATTGAAAATTTTAAACAAAACATGGATCAAAACTGAGCCATTTCGAAGAAAATCACCAAAAAAAAGCTTTACAGGCTTAAAGCCTAAGGCTGTCTAACGGTCTTTTCGGATACCTTTGTGGCGAGCTGCTGCTGACGAATTYCTTCAAGTCTCCATGTCACCGGCGAGAGATTCCCTAACTTCGTCTCCATCTCGATTAACCACAGCAGAAGGCTTTCCAGCTCGACGTTTAACGTTACATTGTACTTGACAGCATACAATAGAATCAGTGACTTTCTTTCTACGATCAGCTGGTAAAGACGCTGCATAATGGTGATGAAGCGTTGATCTGTCACGGTATACGTGGTAGTGGACATTCGTATTGAGCTCAGTCTCAAAGCTTCTTTAAACAACACAGCATCGTGCCAGCTTTCTTCCACTTCTTCCACCTCAGTCAATTCTTCAAGCGGTCTTTCTTCAAATGATACACTAACACCATCGGGTGCTATTGCTATAGGTTCTTCTCTTTCTTGTGAAAGGACACCAACCTGAGTGGGTGGTTCTTCAGTCACTCTAACAGTCACCTCTTGATCAGGAAACGTAACGTAAGGTGATTGCCGCTCGTGTACGATAGTTTTTGTCGTGACGTATCGCTTGACAATGCGTTTCACATGTCTTCCTTCGTCATCTACATATTCTTCTAAGTGTTCTTCTTCCTCAGGATGTACACCTTCTTCAATCTCCTGGATGCTCACCGGCTGTTGCATCTCCTGTGGTGTAAATACTGTTTCGACCTTCATCGTGGGTGAGATATCTGATATCGTTGTGACCCAAGTACGACCACTGCTGTCAACATATCCTTCCGTAGAAACAGGAAAAGCGCTATCGAATTTTGGCGTACCTTCGCCTTCCGCAACGGTTCCTGGCAGCGAAATAACATGTTCTATTGGTGTCATCTTTCCCTCGTGTACAACAGTCCTTCTGGTGACATAATGTTTCACCACTCTCCTGACTTTTCGACCTTCGTCATCTACAAACTCCTCCACATGTTCGTCAGCTTGAGGCAGACCTTCGCTTACTTGGACCTTACTGATAACCACGTTTCCTTCCGAATCCAAAACCTCTTGCGTGGGTTCTTCCTCCAGATGGACAGGATCTCCTGACTGGAACACTATTGGCTCCTTTTTCTCTGCATCTGGCTTTAACAAAATAGTTTTAGTCGTTACATTTCTTTGAATAATCCTTCGCACAGTTCGGCCTTGATTATCAACATATTCTTCCACCTCTGCACCCTCTGGAATTTCATCAGATGGCGTTGCCTCGAGATACACAGGACTGGGAATTTCAAAGACAGGTTTTCTTTCACTAGGTTTCTCTAAACATGAGCTCGTTTCCACTATTCTATAAACAAT